CCAGTCTCCTGGTCGAACTCTCAAGGGAACACTTTGCATATTAGGCATAGATAGATAGATAGATAGATAGATAGATAGATAGATAGTTAGAATTTCTGAAGGACAGGGCTTATGAAAGGAAGTGATGGAAAATAAAATTGAAAACTACAGGCAAGATCATGAAAGGTCTTGAAGACCAGAATAAAGAGTGTAGCTTATTCTGTAGAATGATAATTTTCAACACTTTCCCCACTCCCAGCAAACCTGAGAGATCCGATATATTTCCTCTGAGGCAGTGGGGATAGAGCATAAGGGCTTGGGCTCTGCTTGCCGCCACTTACCACCTGTGGCAGTTTGGGCAAGGCAATCTCTCAGGGACTGTGTTTTCTCATCTGTAAAAGGAGACTAAGAATAGACCTACCTCAGGGCTTTTTATTAGGAAAAAAGAGATAATGCATCTGAAGCGCTATTATTGTTTCAGTATTATCATCATCATCATAGTAGCTGTGGATTACTGGGCAATGAGTTTCTTACGGTGTCAGTGAGAGGATTAAACCCTGTGGATTCTAGCATTAAGAATCTCTACCATGCCTCTGATACCCCATTCCTTGGAGTCATTCTTCTAAATAAGGAAGAATGTAGTTATGTGGTGGCAACATGGCCGTAAGTGGAACCCCAGAATAAGTACCCAGTAGCTGAGCAAGGTAGCTTAGCCTTGTTGGCTTAGCCTTATTGGGCAAGTTACTTAATTCTTTGGGGATCTTCTTGCTCTTGCCTGTAAAATAAGGACAATGATTTCTCTTTGCACAGTAGTTATAAATACCTGGCACATAGTAGGTCCTCATTAAATGGTGTGGTTATATCTTTTATATTTCGATACTTAACCCAAATCCAATTCCCAGATGGCTTCTGAAAGGAAAGAGCTGACCGACTAGGGGATTTTAACAGTTTGCCTGACCTCACTCACATTCTTTTTTCACTCCTCAGGATTTATTTTTATTTTTTTTTAATATGTTTTATTGAGTTTTTACAGAGAGGAAAGGAGAGAGATAGAGAGTTAGAACCATCGATGAGAGAGAAACATCGACCAGCTGCCTCCTGCACACTCCCCACTGGGGATGTGCCCACAACCAAGGTACATGCCCTTGACTGGGATCGAACCCGGAACCTTTTAGTCCGCAGGCCGACGCTCTATCCACTGAGCCAAACCGGTTTCGGCACTCCTCAGGATTTAAGTCCGCCAGATTCCAACTGGAAAGCAGGGATCTCTCTATTCTTTCTGTGTGACTGCTCTGCCTCTGCCTCCTAATTGGTTTCTTTCTGTTAGCTTGGGTTGAGAGAAAAGTGTGAAGAGAATGAGAAAGGAAAAGTGAGGGGAGGATCTACAGTTCTAATACTTTTTTTTACTTTAACTTTGGGAGTTGATTCATATGGTTACCTGAAGGTAGGAAATTGAAATACTAGGTGAATTTTTGAGATTCCTTTTAGCTATGTGATTGCATTTATGTGATATAATAATGTGATTATGCTATTCTAGCTTAGATGGCAGGGTCTTAAAATTGAGACAGTTTCCTATGATTAATTCGCTAGAGAGGTCTGCTGGGGCTCCAGGCAGTTCTGCATAGAAGATGCAATGAGGCCCTGCCTCATTAGAGGCACAGCATCCTGCATCCCGCGGAGCAAGTCATTGAGAAGTGGAGCTCTTTTCAGCCTGTCGAGTCTGAATAAGAAGAAGATAGAACCAGGGAAGCTGAGCCATCTTTTTCTAGTGTGCTGGGTAGGCCGTTCCCGAGCCCTGCTGGGATCGCAGACATGACTTAGAGGAATTTTCACATCACCTACAAAAAAATCTTGCGGCATAGCTGTGTGCAAGCACTAATGGAAAAAACCTTTTACTCAAATTTTTCAGAATAAAATCTTGGTTGATTGTGACCCAGAATATTCACTCCCAAAGGACTGGCCTGAATGATTCTATAACTTAAAATTTTTAGTTATTTTAAAAAGTAAATATTTAGCACCATACCACTTTCTAATTTTAAAACAAAATAGTCATGTTAGTTCTGACTAACAAAACGAATCTAAATTGTTTTGTGCCATCTAGGGAAATGTAGTAAAATGAGACATGTTTGCATTCATTAAAAGGGATGCTTAAAGATGTCAAAGGATGATGAAACCATCATTTCATGTCAGAAATAAAAAGACACAGTTGAATTCATTGCTATGGTAAAGGAGTTATGCTGGGATCAGGTAAAATGTCTCTAGGCAGAGCAGAGTCCTGATCTTAGGGTTGCAGGGAAGTGTGCAATATAATATTCTATTGTATGAATATTCCATAATTTATTTACCCATTCTTCTTCTATTGGACTTTCAGGTTATTTATATTTTTTTTCTATTAAAAATCAAGGCTATGAATATGTGTGTCCTCGAACACATTCTACGAGTTTTTTTGGACAGAAGGTCTTAACTATTTTTATGCCATGGGCCCCTGGGGCAGTTGGGCGAATATTATGGGCTCCTCCTCCAAATAAGGTCCCTTCTTGTCTCACCTTCCCCCACCTGCCACCTCGCAAACATAGTTCAGACCAAAGCAAAGATGCTTTTGTCTGAATATCAGGAGATTGACTTCCTATTGACCGGTAATCCTAAATTCTTCTTAACAGGCATTTAAATATTAGACTTAAGTGCATAAAGTTTCCAGTCTGGAAACTGGATTAGGGAAGCATATTTTTATAGGGGAAATGAATTCAGCCTTTGTAAGTTAGGAGTTGGGAAGAACTGTGCTAATGAGCTCTTTCTGGTGTTTATTTGTTTCATATTTCTAAGCATTCCTCTCCCAAAGAAATCATCTTCCTTCACACAGTACACAAAGCTGTTTGTTACTGGCCGTTAGTTGGGGCATGGAGGGGAGACTAGCACCTGGGAATGCTGATTCTAGCTCAGAGAAGGTGCTGGCCAAGAGAACCACTATTTTCCAAAGCATATATATATTCCTGTACTTTACATATTTATTTAAATTCCAAGTAACACAGCTAGAAGGTGCACAGTTAGCTGGGGCTACAAAACTGCCTTTCCAGAAGGTATATTTACCTCTAAAAGGTTATGCATACTTCATAAAAAACAAACAGATGATGTGAGAGAAAACACAGCTTACTCTTACTTTGATTTTTGAGTGTTTTCACTGTGAAAAGCATGCATTTCTGAAATAACCATTTAGTTTTAAAATAAAACATGTTGCGTTAAGTACCTGCTACTTAATGCCATTTTAAATAATTCATTATTCACAATATTCCAAGGAAACACTGAGCCAAACTGCTAGGGCTAGAAAAGTGCTCTTTAGTAATCCACTGTACTTGCCGGCTTGTCCCTAACCAGTGAACGTTAATCTCTCTAATCTTAAGTCCCCTTAACCCTTCAGGAGTTTGAAAATCTCAGAATCCTTCCACTCTAAATGGATACACACACACACACACACACACACACAACAACAACAACAACAACAACAACCAAACAAAACAAACCATTTATCTGATCCCCAAACTCAAAGCATCACAGAGGTCTTTTTCCAGGGATGCACAAAAGCAGGTTTATAGTTGTAACACAAAAAATACTACAAAATAAATAAATCATAATACAAGAATAAACTGTGTTTACCTGTGTACTCACAACTGTAAACCTACTTTTGCCCACCCTTGTATTCCCGATATCCTAGAAAACACATGCATTACCGTAGTATTTGAATAGTCCTTTAAAATAACTTGACACTCTGTCTACATCTGTATTTATAGACTGGTCATTCCTCAATGCTCTTACCTTCTGTTCATTTTTCTCACCATGAAATTTTCTTCTGAAAGCCATCAGTGGCCTTATCCTATATAATAAAAGCCTAATATGCTAAGTGTCTGGTTGTCCTGGCGTCCCATCATCCCGTTCAACCAATCAAAGCATAATATGCTAATGATATGCTAAGGCCACTCAACCACTCCCTATGACATGCCCTAACTACCAGGGGGCAGATAGTCGACCAGTCACTATGACATGCACTGACCACCAGGGGCAGATGCCCCAACTGGTCAGTTGCTTGCTGCTGGGGTCCAGCCAATTAGGACTGAGAGAGATGGGCCAGACACACCCTGGAGCACTCTCATGGTCCCTCCCCAGTTGGCCAACCTCCAGTGTCCCTCCCCGCCCTGATTGTGCGCCCGTGGGGTCCCTCAGCCTGGCCTGTGCCCCCTCACAAACTAGGACCCGTTGAGGGATATTGGAGAGCCAGTTTCGGCTCGGCGGCAGAACGACCAGTTGCTATGATGTGTACTGACCAACACGGGACAGACGCTCAATGCAGAAGCTGCCCTCTGGTGGTCATTGCGCTCCCACAGGGGGAGCGCTGCTCAACCAGAAGCCGGGATCACGGTTGGTGAGCACAGCAGCTGTGTTGGGAGCCTCTCCAGCCCCCGTGGCAGTACTAAGGATGTCTGACTGACAGCTTAAGCCTGCTTCCGGCGGGGGCAGGCCTGAGCCATCAGTCGGACATCCCCCAAGTGTTCCCAGACTGCGAGAGGGCCCAGGCTGGGCTGAGGGACCCCCAATCGAGTGCACGAATTTCGTGCACTGGGCCTCTTTATTTCAATCATTTAGGAATTAAATGATTCCTAATTGTAATATTTATATTCTTCATGTATCTTCTTCCTACGTCATAGGATTATCATATAGAAAAAAGTTGAAACAAACCAGTGATTTGGCAGTTAGACAGTTCTATTAACTATAAGGATGATTGTGGTAATTGGGAGGCTAGAAGAAAATGAGAAGATACATGTGAAATGTTGAAGAAGAATTTTATCACAGAAATAATGAAATGTATTCTTGTGAAAAGAAAATCTTCCTGTCACTGAGCTATTTCTTCTCTTCAAGCATGGTTCTGAGATGCATGCTGTTAACTTTTTGAAAGCAGTAGTTTAGACTCAGTAGTTCACCAGGCTGGGAATGTCCAGGCCCCAGGAGTAATCGCTGGTGTTCTCTTGTAGGTATTTACCTTGCTGTGGATCGCTGACTGGATGGTCCGTCACTTCTGGAGGAAGGGAAAGGACCCGGACAGTTTCTCCATCCCCTACCTAACGGCACTGGGGGATCTGCTTGGGACAGCGTTGTTAGCCTTAAGTTTTCATTTTCTTTGGCTTATTGGAGATCGAGATGGAGATGTTGGAGACTAATTGATCCTACAAACTGCTCTCAAGTTACCGAGAAGGAAAACGCAAGATAACCGCCAATGGCTTTTTCAGAAATCGTAAATCAGTCGTTTGACTTCAGTCGGGGCACTCTGCAGTTGGCCCTCATTCCATTAAATGGCCTTAACATTTTTTAAAGGAATTTGTGTCGAACCAGAATGAACAGTATTTATGCTAATTTCACACAGACATAGAATCAAGCTCAATCTCCGAAGTTAATGAAGTAGGAAAGCCTATAGGATGTTTACAGTGAATCATTTTAAAACCACAGACACAGCAGAAATGTACTTGATTATTGTTTAACTTATAATGCCAGTTTAGGGGAGAGTTCGAGTTTAACCTCTGTTGTCTCACGGATGTGTGGTGCCTACCACATACCATCCATAAGATGAAAGGGGCCCAACCACACTTTCAATAGTTTTTAACTGTACCCGCCTCTCTGCTAGATGAGGAACAATTTGCCAATTACTTACTCCTCACCTGACCTAAATAGGTTCTGCTGAGCATAAGATAAATGGACTTAGACCTGCTGCTATGAATTTCCCTGTGCCAATGCTAATTCAATTTCATCTCTGCAAGTCCTTGGCAGGCTGCCCTTGAAACATAGAATGACCTTGAGAGATCTTTCATGAAAGCAGTGGGTCATTTTTGATCATCGATTTGTTGAAAGAATGTTGATCTTGTTCAGAAGACTTAATAGTTAAGAATAGGAAATAATCCAAGCTGCTTTTGTAGAGACGAGAACGTGTGTGTGTGTGTGTGTGTGTGTGTGTGTGTGTGTGTGTGTGAGAGAGAGAGAGAGAGAGAGAGAGAGAAATTTTTGATGGAGAACTGAATCTTGGCTTGTTGTTAGCAAAGATCATAGTGCTGTTAGAATGTTAGCATTATATAGTTATTCTTAAATACACTTTACTGACATACTTTTGTCACTTGGTCCAAAAATTTTGTTACTGTCCAGAATGTAGTATTTCTTACCTACATGATAATTGTTTCTTATTAAAACCACTGTGCCATTTAACATAGAAGATTTAGAATGGGCAGGTGATAAATTGGTTCTTCTGGAGAAGTCCGTTGATATTTTGAGGTGCACCATTTTAAGAGAGAAGTTGGTGGGTTACTTCAGTGGTTGCTCATGCCTGTACATGTCATCTGTTTGTTCAGGCTCATTGCTACAGGGGACCCTGTCATACACACTGCTATATCTCAAACAGTTTCTAACCTCTGATCTATATTCCAAACACTTAACCAACATTTATTCATTCAATAGGTGAGCATTTTTATATCACATGTAGTTCATTTTTAAGACCATCAGATATGTAATAATTTAGTTGATAAGGGAAGAAAAATGCACATTAGCTTTGATCTTCATGGCTTAGTTGTGAGTTAGTGTTAATATTATATAAACAGTAGGTTGTTTATACATCTATTGGGGAAAGTGTTCCTATTAAACTCTTTAAAATAAGGGGACCATGGTTTAGAGTTATATATTTTTGCTTATTTTAAAACTTTAATTATTCCATTCTTCTGCCTTATAATGAAGCTTCTAAGGCAGAGAACTGAACAAATTATCGAATTTCTCCTTTGGAGAGTTATAACGTCACATAGTGAACATTCTTATGAAAGAAAGAATGATTAAGTTAAGCTGATGAATATTTATCTGCAAAGACTTTTTTATTTTTAAAAAATCCATAAATAATTTATTTGATTTTATTGTTAAAGTACTGGTAAATTACTTGTTTACATTTGCACCGTGTTATTCATAAACATTTATATTTCCCAATGATTTCTCTATTTTGATTTTTTAATATCAAATAGTGAACAGCAAGCCACATTTTTGTAAAGATTGATTTTAGAGGAAGGAAGAGAGAGAGAGAAACATCAATGTGAGAGAAAAACATCAATTGGTTGCTTGAACCCGCAACTAGGTATGTGCCCTGACTTGGAATCAAACCCACCACCTTTCGGTGTACGTCCAACCAACTGAGCCACACCGGCCAGGGCCAGGAAACCACATTTTTAAAGCATCTATCAACCCCTTTAGTCTAGTACATTGACAGTGCCTGTGAAATAGGTCAGGTAGGTCTTTCTCTGTATTATAACAAAAGGAACTGAAACTCAGAGAAGTTACATTTTACAGGTTGCACGGCTGCAAAGTGACCAAATTGTGACTAAAGATCAGGTTTCCAATCTCCTGAGCCAGTACTCTTCCTATGACCCTGCCCATGACCCCCCCCACCCCCCCACAATGCACCAGGAGTACCTACCTAATTACCCGAGAGGAGAGCAATGGAGAAGCAGGGCTGTCTATGGAACAGAGCGTTGCTGCTGCTTTTAGATTTCAGGCAGGGAGACCTCCATTTAATGTCTTGATGGTAAGTGTAGCCAACTGTGAATTATTCATGTTCCTAAGCCCCAGGAAAACTCAGATAAATAAAAACGGTAGAATAAAGAGAACAATGCCTTATTCCATAGAGTATTTCATTGCTACCACCCTTCCCAGATCCCGTCATTCTAGGTAGACGCTGAGAAAGAACTAGGATGACTGATTTATAGCTCCTTTCTCAGTCTTGGTTACAGCAACAAAACGTCTAAAAGGCATGTGATAAGAAAAAAATAAAACATGGAAAAATCAGTCATCAATTAACTGGATTAATTTAGAAGAGGGATGTAGATTCCTCTAAAACATTGTACTGTTTTTTGAAAGCTTTTAGATTAAGTATGCGAATGATAAGATGACCTATTTACCCACAAAAATAATTTGTTATCAGTCTTAAATAATGTGAATTCACAGTATTTTTATACAATATAAAAATTCCTGCTTTCCAAACTTCTTCCTTTCACTAATCTACCAGATACTTTATTTACACAGAGATAATTTTTTAAAAACATTTTTTTATTCTTGGTTACCAACCATTTTTTTTCTTTAAAAAATCGTTTCTCAGAACATGATAAAATGGGAACTTAGGGTAATGTATCTTCTGGAAGACATCAAAAATTCCGCATCGAGACTATCAGTGATGTAGCCAAATGAAGTACATTTTAAAAAGTCTTTCAGTATTTGGGCTTCCTTGCCATATAATATATCTGTGGTATGATAGTCTACCCATTTATTCTGGGCTTCTTTCATCCTTGAATTATTGTAAACTCAAATAAGAATAAAATTGAAGAAATATTTACCCATCCTGTTGTATGCATTTTTTTTTAATAAACTACATGGACATTGAGCCTGTGTAGAACTCACCCAGAAGAGACTGGGGAGATCTATGTATATATCTTGTAGTTATGAGTATAATATATTGGCTTTGACCATACCTAGATCTCCAATCTATTGCTTTATCACTTTTTTCTCTGTTTGAAGCACTCTTCTCACTTTTCAGCTTAGATTCCTGGGCTCATCAATCCATACATCCTCCACTACCACCTTCATCGTGACTGGACAGCTCTGGTTAGACGTAGCTCTCCACCGATGCTTTCCCTGCCCTTGAGCAGCTGAATGTGGCTGGTGAAAAACTCATGGCTGCTCCGACAGACCCTTCAGTTTATAACCTCAGACATCAAGTTAACCCTCAACTGTCTGGCAGCCAACTGTATTTCTCTAATCCAGCAGTCGCCAACCTTGCGGACCTCACGGACCACCAGCGCTCTAATCACTTTGCTCTCCGAGATGTCAGGCTTTTGTCCCCACCCCTCAACTGAAAGTATTCCTGTCAAGGTCATCTATAGTCTCCATGTTGGCGAATCCAGTGATCAATTCTCAATAAGAATTCTCACTGGCCTTTTGCTTTATTTTCTACACCCCTGGAGGCCCCTTCTCTGTCCTGTGGTGGTTCCTCCTCAATCTCTAAACGTTGTATTTATTACCTCTTCTCTACTTTTTCTCCCCAGGTGACCTAATGCATCGCATTGTTTCTAATATTCCCAAGTTCATTTCTCCCTTCCAGGCCTCTCACCCGAGTTCCGGATGTGTATTTCCAAATGCTTGCTGGACAGCTCCACTTGAGTGACTACGAGGTATCTCAGACATTTGAACAAAGCTGTCAACCACTTTGACCTAATTGGTACATACATAGACTACCATATCCAACAACGGCAGCATACACATTAAGGGCTAATCTTCATAGGTAAAGAACTAATATAAATCAGGAAGAAAAAGACCAATAACAAAATAATAAAATAGCCCAAGACAGATGGTTCATTAAAAAAAAAAAAAAAGATGCTCAGAACTACTCAGATGGAAAGAAATGCTAATTAAAATCACACTGAGATACCATTTCTCACTATCGAATTGGCAAAAATTCAAAATCAGATAAAACATTCTCTTGGCGAGGCTGTAGGGAATCAGATGCAATTGCTGGTGGTAAATGATAAGTTTACCACGATAAGAGCTCTGTAGAGGGGAATCTGCGCATATCTACCACAATTACAGGTGCATTTATCATTCGGTCCTGTAGTCCCACTATTAGCACCGTTCAATCCAGGTAAGTGACGCCTCTGCCCGCGGCCCTCTGCCACATGCAATGGTTGGGATCCAGCCAGCGGGCCAAACCCAGTTCACTGCCTGTTTCTGTAAATAAAGTTTTATTAGAATGCAGCTATGCCCGTTTGGTTACATTTGTTGTTGGCTGCTGGCTTCTACAACGGCAGAACTGAGAAAGAGACCATACAGCCTGCAAAGCCTAAAGTATCCACTGTCTGGCCCGTTGCACACAAAAAAGTTCACACACCTCTGCTTGAGAGTCAATTCTTCAAATTTTATTTCTAAGTCTTCCCCGGGTACCTGGGACTCGTACCTGGATCAGCAGCGGCCTGCGGGCAGGGTGCCCCGACCCAAAACTGATCCTGTATGGACTCCGTTTGCAAAAAGCAACTACCGTCCTCGGTTGTTTTGTCTGATGCCTGGGACCAGCCAGGCAGATGGTGCGCCCAGTTCCTGTTTCTCTCCTCTAAATTAGGGGTCAGGCTTGTGTGGGGTCAACCAGATGCCTGGTACCTGTTGCTCCCCTTTAGGGGTCAACCTCATGTGGGGTCAAACAGATGCCCCCAGGAAGTCAGACTCCTGCCCGTGGGGTAGTCCCTGGACTTATGTCTGTCCCTAGTCCCAAGAAGGCAACATGGAAAGCTGATCATTCTCACTGGTGAGAATACTAACAGGTTTCCGGAATGGTGCTGACATGTTGATTTGAAGTGACATGTCAGACAGAGGACAAGCACAGAGCTCCTGGCTACCGAATCCACAGCTAACCCCTGCTTCTCCAGCCCCGGACTCTGTTGTCAGCATTCTGACTGCGGCGTTGTCTCTGGACTAGCATCCAAGTGTGGCAAGGTGGTGGCAGGCATCCTTTCCCCTGTGCATCCTGTCAGTTCCACCCAAGAAGGGCTCCCTACCCTCTTGCGGGCTCTGTGCCACGTGCCAGGCAGCCCTCGGGGCGGGTGGCCACTTCTTTCTCCCCGGAAGGCCTAACGACCACTGTTCTGCGATTGGCCCTTCCAATTGGCGTCCCCTCTTCCCTCCAGTTGGTTTGTTGATGTCGTGCTCTCCCCGGTCAGTCTTAAATTGCATTGGACAAGGAACAGCCATTCATTGTCTGGACGGGACCGTTCTCACTATGTTCCTGGGCCCTCGCTCAGCCTCCCCACTGGCAACAGGACAGTGTGTGTGG